ATTATATACACTATATAACATTATATAAATTATATAACATTATATACACTATATAACATTACATACATTATATAAAGCTATGTACACTATATAACATTTCATACATTTATATAACACTTGTTTAATACCTTTTTGCCTCGTTTTTAGAATTCATCTATCTCGATATGAGTTTAAATCAAATAATGGTTAATACAATTTCTAGAAGTTGTTTTAAGAAGAAATAAAACATTTTGTGAAGTCCTCCTACTAATTATAGTGTTGGAGCCAAGCATCTCATAAAACATTATACTTTTGTCGGTTACTTTAAAACTTGATAAATTAAATTAAAAATTTAATCGCGTAAGGGCTTAGGAAAATACAGAAAACTAATATCACCGGCTACGTAACTAGGACTTTCTATGAGAAGATCCCGGATTGTAGTCAACAATTTCTGTAAATAACTTTTTCTGAATGTCTTTCTACGTTGATACGAAAATTGCTAATCAAGCAACCTTAGATATACAAAATAAACTATGAAAAATAAAAGCAGTATTAATACACGATGCGTTTATATGAAATTAAATACGTGAATATTAGAAATTATTATTGGTATTATGGGCACGTATCAGTTTACTTAGAATCACAGACTAGACTAAATTAAAGAAGATACCTAGAAAGTGAAAATACAGAGTTGTCGTCGCGTATTTTCTCTATACTTTGAAATTAATTAGCTAGATATTCATAATAGATAATAACGACTCACATTTTTATGCAATACGCATTTTCAGAAATATTTATATTTATGTTTGTCGCTCATTAGTATACAAAGGTTGAACGATTTCTTAGGCTTACTACGTCGCTACAGTTCATTTCCCCACCTACGATCATACTCTTTCTGGCAACTATGGTCTTGACAATAGCCCTGCAGCGTAGTTTCCATTGCAAAATTCTCCACCGTAAGGATGTCAAGCTCAAAGCATATCATAAGTTCTGGGTCGGTGACTTGACTGTTATAGCTTCATATTTAATGGCAAGAATACAGTATACTCTTGAAAATAACGCACGTGGTACGTCAAAACTAGTCGAGGTAATCACCTTCACATTTTGTAAATTTGTGTTTGTTCTTCGTTACTTAGTTTGTGCTTATAAAGCTGTTAATCTTTACAACATTTGTAGATAGCACAGCTTGATTAACAAGAATACTCGTATCTTTCTCTGTCTGCATACAATTTTCGATGTCATCATACTACTTAAAAACCACAAAACAATTAAAAAATTTAGTCATGATACTTGTCGTTTTATCGCAACATTACATCGGCTGTGGTTGTTGCACGACTTGCTGATTTGTATATCAAGATCGTTTTCATTTAACTACTTAAATCCCTGTATTCATAAATTGTTATATAAATTGGTTAACCTATCGATTCTAATCTAGTTAAGGTTTTCTGATTGTTAAGTAGTTGTATTTCTCAAAAGATTATATGTTGTATATGTGGTCAGAAACTTCAGGAATGTAAAACACACTACTTGGAAATATATAAGAATAAATGTCATTTACAATTATTGAAATATTACAAAGAACACGGAGTAGTTCCGAAATTTCTGATTTTTAAGGTTCCTTCTAATAGGATTGTAAATAATGCACCAATTTATTTGTTACTAGACGACCCGTGACCCGTTGGGTCACCCATTATTCAGAGGTTATGAATAATTCAAGCTAATTTCAATATTGCACTGAAATGAAGGTTTATTTGGAGATAATTTAATTAAATATTTCAATCCATTCGTGTTATTCATAATTCAAATAAAGATATTTGATTGTTGATCGAGAGTAAAAGGAAAGACCATTTCATTTTTCAAAAAAAATGAACTAATTCATCACAATACCTGAAAACTCTGACTTCACGTGTTGTGGTCTTTCCTCTTAAACCTTCTACAAATAAGAAACAGTAACACTTTTTTTTTTCGAATTACCCACCATAACCAAAGCACATTATTGAGAAATTCTTCAAGATCTTGTTTTTGTCATCTTACGCCTTTAAATGAAGATGGAGACATTGACAGGGAAATAATATAATAGCCAATGCTCGGCGAGAGGTTTTCGTTCATAAAATTTTGTTGTTGTTCTCGACTTGATTTTATTTTATTACCTCGTCTCTATAGTTACTATTTGCAAATAGCAATAATATTGTAGGTCCATTTTATTGTTGTTCTTTCTACACGCCGTTATAACTCATTTTCATCTCATCATTTAATTTCTGTTGTGCATATATTGTTGTATAGAAGATATTTTAAAGTGATTCATTACGTGGAAAACGAAGTTTTATGATAATGGAATGTACGAAAAGTGACCCTTACTGTAAAAGTTGTAACTTGTAAAAAATACATATTACTAGTAAGTAAACTCAGTCGAAACTATTCATTCATAAATGTTTAATGCACATTTAAACAATATAGAGGCATATATAAACTTATAGTAACATGATACGTTTAGAACACAACAATGACTTTTAATCATTTAATTAAAGATTAGAAAATATTTCGGACCCAAAATTGTCAATTTTTTGAGTAAAGCTATCGAGTTTATAATTTGTATTACCTCAGACTTTCTACATCGACAATACAGAGGAAGAAGTCGGACTTCGAAGACAGAAAATTACTTTCACATTAAAGTGAACAACAGCCCGTCGTGACAAATGTGATTTATCTTTAACACTAATTTAGTCGATTCGAAGCTCTGGATTTTAATAGCCCTGTAACATAATGAGTACTTTCAATCTTTAAATCTGTGTCGTAAAGATGAAACACTAACATTAATTTTCCAACTAAACATGTGTCTTTGAAAACGTGTTTTTTATTATTTTTTTTTCCTCGAAAAGGCATACTCGTGTAATGTTTGGCTAATCCCTAACGGATAACTAGAAAGGTTCAACAACGTTGGCAACCATCTGATATGTAATGAAACTTGTTTGTATTCCGTTGTACACCATTTACTTCTGTAGAGGAGAGTGAGCATCTTCTTGCTAAATTCACTAATAAAAATATTCTAAGACATACACCTGATCACATTCAATTACTTAATTACATCAAAGTACTATTTTAAAACCGTATAGCTTCCTGAAACGAGTTCTACTGAAAATTCTGTAGTGAGTTTTAAGCCTTTTTTATTATTATTACAGCCTCTCTTGACTTTTCTGGAAAACCAACTATGGAACACCACTCGGCAAATGTTGCGTTCCTTATTCTTTTATATATATATTATCTTTAATTTTTTCAAGTACACTTTCTATGTGTGGAAAAATGAGGGATGAAACCGGCTAACAAATACACCTTTTAGTGTTTCATCCGTAAAATCCAAAATGTGCGTTTAGCCATGTTATCTAAGACATCCTTGAAATGTATTTTTTGTTTCTAAACTTTCGTAAAAAAAAAAAAGTTTGATAATCACATGCCTTTAATCATTTCTATTTTTCATACTCCAAATGTTACATAATATGTTCGTATCAAAGCTGCGGAGGCGTAATAAAATAACAACGAATACACAAGGTGTGCTAGAAACAACTTGGTATAGTGTTAGCGATATATTTGCTTGCTCTTACGATAAAAACAATTCTATGACACAAAATCTACTGACACAGATTTCTGGCTACGTTAATGAATGATTTTTAGCTTGCTTCCTCAAAACCTTACTTGTCAGCAAAATTGTAATATTACAAATCTCGGACGACGTTTATAGGAAGATAATGCAGAGTTCCAGATACAATGCTATCGTTACACATTACGTATACGCCAAATATTTAAAATTATACGTAGAGCGAAAAAAATTTAAACATTAATCTTCCGCAAACATTCTTAAAAACTTTCAAAACAATGTTACATCTATCGTTCTGAGAAACAATATTTGAACATACAGAAACACAAAGTGCTCGATTTCTAAGAGAAAACAAATGTAACACATCCCTGTTGACGGGTGGGAAGGGAATCTGGAAGATAATCTAAACGTTAATGGGGCTATTACCACTTGGAATGAGGCTGGAGTAAAGTAATGTAGTTGACTACGCCAGTCAAATATCAACCCGCAATGCAACCTAGACTGACTTAAAATTATGGTATTTCCATCTTTAAAAAATAAATCCAAATTATGTTTCGGATCTGAGATCCGGAGACATCCAGCAAAAATAAAGCCTGCATTAATACATATATATATATTCATTTGTAACAAATCCCGCATCTTCACCACATTAAACTCACTTTACAATACCGACTACAGAGCCTAAAAAACAAATCCAATAAATTGGTAATGCGACACAGCAAGACATAAATTGTACGACGAAAACACTGTTTAAATTACAACAGTTAAATAATTTATTTCAAGACTGATGGCATCACTATTTTATTTTCCTTCGGAGTCATGAAATATTATTCCAGCTATGACAAAGAAAATGTGTTCTATTTAATGATAAGTCATACATCTATAAACATGACAGACCAACTGTCTATAACTGATTATCTGTAAATGCACTTACTAGCACACCATAGCAAAATTGTATTTTTGTCTCCATTAGAACAAAATAAAACAATATCAAAGGGGCAGTGAATCATTCTAAAAAAAAAGCATTCAAGTGTTCTCTCACTCGTAAAAAAATTAAGACCCTGACAGGCGAGATTTAAGTACTGTCCTCCTCTTTTTTTAACTAGAAGAATGGGGTGAAGCGTTCGAAAAAAAATATTCTTATTGGTAAAGGTTCAAGTTCTCTCTTTCACCATCTTTTAGTTAAAATAAACTAAAGCACTTAAATTATGGCCTCGCGCCGTTAATCAAGTTAAACATGACAGTGAGAAACCTATGATTGATTCATGGCACACCATAAACAACTTACACGATGTTTAAAAAAGAAATACCATGACTTAACTCACTAATCGTAACCTTCGTACCATGATTGAACCTATTAAACATAAACCTCGTACCATAACTTCACCCAATTAACATAATCCTCAAAGTCTTTTTACCTCCTAGTTTGGATATTACCTTATACCGCGAATTATGTATAGAAAACACTTTCTGAAAGACATTGTTTTTGAAAATATTGATTATAAACTTTAGTAAAATTCCAAATTCATTAACACAAATAATTATTGAAAACCATCAAAATTATCATTTATTGGGTGTTTTATATAATTTTAAAGAAAAACAAACAATCAACAGTTAGCTCCGTCTCCCCTAGACCATGTTATGATCTATAACAATAGATCATGTTATGATCTATAACAAAAGTAACATTTTAACCAAAGCCACTTTTAGTTTTCAAAAATCTTAACAGAAAACAGTAACCTGGACCAATCAATGTATTCAACACATGTAATCCCAAAATTTTGTTTTAACCAAATTAACTTCAGAGCAGTGTAGTCAGAGATCACAGGTAAGACTCTGAGAACTCAAAGTCCGAGTGCGAAGCTCTAGATCCACGCACCATAGAGCACGTAGTACCCGTGACGTAACCAGAATCAGATACGGGATCAATAGTAATCTTCTCTCTTGGCGAGAGCATCACGCCATCACCATATTGAACCGGTAAGGTAATTCGCACTCTCTCGCCGATAGAGGCCGTTCCGTGAATGGATCGCAAAGCATTCTTCTCTTGCAGAGCTTGATTCAGTAGTTTGATTTGTTCTTCTTTCTGTAAATAAACAGTGAAATGTTACAGTATCCTTGTGAATAAATAAAGAAAATCACCAACTTCTATCGTAATAAGAAACGAATTTAGTTGTCGGTAATACACTAAAACGTATTTAAATACACAGACAAAGCGGTAAATACGAATTGAATAAGTCGATTTACTTCCGATATTTGTCGCTTCAGTTCTTCATTCTCAACTAACAGACGCTGGTGTCGCTCTTCTTCTTCTTTGCTGGTGATTGTGTCAGTGAGGTTTCTGGCGTCGGATCGTTCCTTTGGTCGTCTGACGAGCTCAATAATCTACAAAAGTAAAAATAAGTACCTTATTTTCATGTTATTATTGTTAGAAATAAGTACTTCATTTTTCGTGTAATTATGGTTAGAAATGCGTAAGTTGTCCGCAAGATAAACAATTAAATTATGTGTTCCTAAAAGGTAAGTAGCTTCAGAAATATTCTATTAATAAAACCAAGCAACACGGTATGTTGGTTAAATTATATATATATATATAGGAGCTATTAAATGCTTTGTCAAAGAGTATCGGTTAATAATCGTGAAAAAAATCAGTTTTATTCAAGCTGAGAAGAAAATAATTATTGAAAATAATAAAGTTTATTAATCTTGAATTATATAATTCTTATTAAATAAATTGAGTTATATTATTTCAGCTATATTCTTATTTTCACAGAAAATGTTTTTACATTTTAGTCCAGGTGTCATTACGAATAAATTATATATTGTTTATAGTATAAAAGGTATTAAATGTGTAATTTGAACAAAGTTACTGTAGGTAGCATAAAAGTGACGTGGATACTTCATACGAACTAGAATCAGAAAATTATTACAGTACATGAATACTATAACTTGAGCAGTCAACAAGTGAGCCACTTATTTCTATGTTTCCCACCAATAACAAGTTGTGTGAATTATATATTTTACAAAGTGTAGCTTTGGTATTTTCTAACCAAATAAAATAAAGTATATTTCAATTGCTTTTTATGAAGGTGGTGATCTGAAATTTTCAGTAACACTAGCGAGTGTGTTTTCACGAACAGAGTAAATTCTGTAACAATACATCAACATGTTTCTACGAATTAGAAAATTCATTATTAATACTTTTCTCTAAAGTGATGGATACCAAGTAAGCAAAAATGTATAAACATTTTAAAAGATTAAGCTGCTCATAAAAATATTGTTAAACTTAAATAATTAATAAGTGTAAAAAAAAACACATTGGAAATTTATAAAAATGTTTATATTTATCAAAACCTGTAATACTTACTTTACAGAGGCCGCTAGAATACAAACATTTTTCTGGGCAGGAAAATAAGCGCCAAAACTAAGCCTATTTCAATAAAAAATGTTTCACAGAAAGCAAAAGATAGATATTCGACTATAAAATCACGTTCGTGTGCATTTTCGAAAGCCTTTCTGCTATCAGTTACTAATTGGCCACAGCAATGGTCTTTTGTTTTGTTTTTCAAGTAAGCGACTTAAAACTTATATTCAATAACCATATTACTAGTAATTGTATATGATTTATTTAAAAGTTTAAAATTATGAACTGAAACTATTTATAATTTTTAAAGTTTAGAAATACTTTTGCTTGTAAACTTACTTTAGGAACAAAAACAAGAGCCATCGATAGGAAGCTGCAGAAAATAATTGCTAAAGCCACGAAAGCAAATGTTGCGTCTTGTTGACTGCTAATAACTAGGGTGACAGGAGCAGTAATAAGACAAAGAACCTGGAAACAGTAAAATAAAATTATTAGTATCCTATAAATCGATCATTTCCTTCAGCCGTACAATTCCAGACAACTAGTGTTTGTAAGGCCAAATATCCATAAAAAAAACACAACAAATGCTTCCTGTAGACAGAAGTAAAACTAATGATTTAATTCGGGTGGTGAATTGTCAGACCCATTTTTTTTTAAATAATAAACATCTATACCAGCTCTTCTAGCGCAGATGGATGCAGTTCATTCGATAATCTATTAACGATCGTTACTTACCACTTATAACTTGAAGAAAAACCAACGCCTGGACATATTTTTGCATTGTTTACAACAGTGTCCAAAAACGAAAAAAAAAAAAAAAAAAGAAAAGAAAAATAAAATCACACGAACTCGAGATCTATTTTTTTTTCTGTTTTATATATATATAGCAAAGCCGCATTGGGCTATTTGCCGTGTTCACTGCAGGTGATCGAACCCGAAATTAGCATTGTAGGTCCGTAAACTTACTGCTGACCACCAGAGGACCTCAACAACTTAAGAGAGCATGATATTTTGCTTCATTTCAAACTTTTATGTCTCCTTGTGCTTTCTTGAAATTACAATCCATACCGCTAGTCAAGTTTGGAACATGACCAAAATCAAAGGTGTGATCAAGGTCACAACTTAATGTTATACCAAAACTTCAACATTTCGACTAATATCAATATACCTTAAGTTATTAAGTTCAAAGTCATGGCGAAAAGCAATTTCAAATTTATTATTAATAAACTCTAAACCTTAATAAACTCCTCAAAATTTGAGGAGTTCTTGTTCGGCTTGGACCTTGAAACAGATGCCACACCTATCGCTTCGTCACTGCTATCTCTCGTTCTCCGGATCGGGATTTAGGTCATTTTTACGACTTGGGAGGGTCAGGTTCAGGTGGACCTCTTCCTCCCTTCTGTACAGTTGTTATAGCTTTTTCTATGCTTCAGGTTTTTTGGTTGGCTGGTTTGATATGGGGTTGGTGTATTTCTGTTAGTACTTTCCTTTTCAGGGCCATGTCCGTTTTATGTTATCAAGTTGTATGTGTGTATTGCCCTATTCTTGGGTGTTAGTGTACTTTGGGTCTATAGTAGAAGTAGTAAGTGTGGTAATAATAATGGTAGTTCTTATGCTGCTTTTTTTGTGATTATTTTGAATATATCGTCTTCGTTTTGAGGGCTGTCATATTTTTCCACGATTATTTTGAATATGTTTTTTGATTGTCTCTACTACTTTGTTTATGAATTCCTGTGTTTTAGGAGATGTAACTATAGGTATCTTCATTTGTTCTGTTGTTTCTTTAGTTTGTGTGTTGATTTTCTCTTCTTGTGCTTGTGTAGTTGTTTCTGTTCGGGTGTGGGTTTTTAATGCTTGTGCGAATGTCTGTGCTGTAGACTGTTTGTTTGTATTGCCATTTTGTTGAGGGTTTGGTGTTTTTCTTTATGTGTTGTGTGTTTCATAATTTTGAGCTTGTGTGTGTATGTGTGTTGTTTTGTATATTGTTTATTCTTGTCTTAATGATTTTATATTTCTGGCATCCTTTGTAGTTTGCCGTGTGTTGTTGTTGGCAGTTGCAACAGTGTGGTTGTGGGTTACCACGCGGGCATTCATTGTTTCTGTGGTCTCCCCTACACCCTACGCAGCGTGGGAGAGCTTTACTTGCGGCTGCCACATGTCCATACAGTTGGCAGTTGTAACACTGGGTTACTACTACCGCTGGTATTTTGGTGGATTCTACCGTGTATTTTCTATACCAGAGAGTAATACCATTTGATATTAGATTCTGTATGTCTTGTGTTTCTTGTACTTTTATGAGGTTTGTGAGTTTTTGTGTTCTGTTTGAGAAAATCCGTTCAACTTTAGTTACTAGTATGTTTTTCTGTGTGAGTTCTGTTTCTATTTCTTCGTTTGTGATGCTAGTGTGTATGTCTTTTATGACGAATGACTTGTGGTTTGGTTTGTTTCCTGGTATGTGTTCACTGCTGTCTGTTGTGTTTGTTTGTTTTGAATTTCGCGCAAAGCTACACGAGGGCTATCTGCGCTAGCCGTCCCTAATTTAGCAGTGTAAGACTAGAGGGAAGGCAGCTAGTCATCATCACTCACCGCCAACTCTTGGGCTACTCTTCTGTCTGCTGTTGTTTGAACCGTTGAAAAAAAATCTTACAGTTTCGTTTATGACAACGTAATCGTTTTAACACTAACACACTGAGAAAAATTCACACTAAGCAAAGTCTGGAAAACAACAAAAACAAATTACGCTAAATACAGTTTTATTAAAATAGCAAAAAATCTATATATTTAATAAGTAAAAACTAACATATCACACATATAGAAACAAATCACAAAGCCCTTTCTTCCAGTAATCAAATTTTTCGAACAATAAAAATGTTAAGTTTGATATCCAACTATACTGAAAATAATTCATTACCCAGAACGTTTTAAAATATAACTTTGATGGATGTAAATCATTGGAATGTAAGTCACCTTAGATTTACTTGGGCATAAATGTTTAATAGGCCAGTTCACTGAACTCTACGAAAAAAAAAGAGTCAAACGGTAGATGACACTTATCAAAATAATTTGAAATATAAAATATTTTAAGGCAGAGGAATTAATTAATTTGTAAGTGTCAAAAAATATTTGGAGATTTGTGTTCAATCCATTAACACTGACGTTTGATACCACTTATATATCATGCTTATCACTAAACGGTTTTTCTTACCACGACGTTATAAATGCTCATTCCCACCAGCCTTGAGTCATTCAGTTGTTTGATCTTCACACTTCGAGTTTCGTAGGCGAGAAAGATGCCAAAGATAAGTAGTAGGCCTTTATACCCGTACATAAGTCCTACCATAAGCGAAACAATCACAAATCCATTTTAGAAATAAAAAGCAGTAAATAAAGAAAATCCAAGTACTAACATTTTTCCTTTTTAATTTACACTTTTTGTTAAACCTTGAACGACATGAATATAGTTATTTTTTAAACGTTCAAGTTAAAACAAAGATAAATTAAAGTAATAAGAGTAATTTACAATGATTTATTCACCACTTAGAGTCAGAAAAACAAGTCATATAACAAATATTTGAAACTTATAATTACACAAGTGGTTCAATGTTTGATTGGTCTAGAAAACTCAAACATTCTTCATTGTGAATTAAATCATATAATTTTAAAAACGTGTCGCGTGTCTCCTCAAAGTGGTTAACCTATCATGTTGTTTCTCTTTATACCCTTGAAACATAATACGTAGTTTCGTTACCTAATTACAACACGTCCTTCGATATATATATATATATTTATGTTTGTATAACTTGAATATTTTTAGTTTATTTGTGTTTTTTGTTTAGAACAGAGTTATCATTGGCGATTTGTAACAACATCAGAAGTTTGATAAAATGTACCGTGTATAATTATTGTGATCCTTTTCGCTTCTAAAATATTATTAATATTTTTGCTATTTTACATCTCACCAAGCCAGATAGCGTTGTTTTCAGACTCGCAGTGTTCCAATTCTGGTTGTATCTTGATGTCCTCGTCCAAAATCTCTGGATTTTCTAAGGGAAAGAGCTCAAGTTTTCTCCTAGGAGGATCTGTGGCCTGCCACACTGTGAGAATCAAGATATCCAAAAAAAGAAGAAATCCCACCAAGGCATACAGCTTCCAGCTTTCTACTTTCTGAAGAAAAGTATAAAAATGAAATTACGTAGTAACGTATTATTACCGAACTGCTTGATAAACTTTAAATATCAAACAATGTTTGAAAATTTTATAACTATGTAAAAATAAATTGTAGGTAGACATATTATTTCATAAAAAGAAAAAAAGTACTATGGTTTTTCACTCATAAGTAACAGTTGAGATATTTCATTACTTGTGCTTTTTAGAGTTTACCACAAAGTCCTATGATAATAAGCATTCTTAAAAACATCATTCCTTCTTGAAATTAAATGGAATTAAAAGTATTGAACACAAGGCTTCCATTGTAACAAGTGAGCGAAATCAGCACGAAACTACTTCAAATTAGAATTTTATAACCTATATTGTCAAATCTTTTTATGATATGGAATAGATACAAATGTCAATAAATCGCCAAAACCAAACAAACGAAGACGCCCGTTCTTTTCTACCTCCTATTTATAAAACATTTTTCATTTTGCAAACATGTTACTGGACTTTCTCTACGAAATTCCACATTAGTAAAACCGTTTATTTTTGTTCGAAACAAATTCAATATTATGGATGAATTTCCTATTGAAAAATAACTGGTTTTGTTCTCTTTTTTTGCAGATTTCCTCATCACGTATATATATATATTTCTAAAAGGTTTAAAACAATTTTGCTAAACTGCACGAAGAAAAGTAATTATTACACTTACTTTGAATCACGCCTGATTTATAGTTAGTGAATATTATAATATTTGACTGCATTTAATAATGTACGAAGCACTGGCGCAACTAGATGAGTAAAATTAGCTGGGATCCCTTATTATGGGAGAGCCCAGGAGGCTGTGTGTGTGAGGGGGTCGAGTGTCCGTGGGGGGGTCGAGTGTTCGTGGACTTGATTCAACTAGTAAGATAGGTAGTTGCTAAGGGAACAAAACGTTACGATATATTTCACTGGACGCTTTTTGATATTTCAAATGTGTTCGGAAGGTAAAACTAACGTTTAAAGAGTCTGTTAACAAATAAAATATTAGAACAACGCGTTTATTCGGTAACGTACAGAGGACGTTAAAAGGACACTTTTCAATCATCGCAGGGCAATATTTTTTGAGAGGGGTGGAGGTAGTGTTAAGGGAAACTATGGGTACTGTGGTACACACAAGATGATCATTTGTGTCTTTTGGTAGTTGTGGATATTTTTTGTGACTGAGAAGAAGGGCACTTTTGGGGCATAAGAGCAGAAAGGCAAGGGTTTGGACCCACCCAACCACCTTCTGCGCATATCACTGTATTTATACTATACATTCATCCTACGCTATAACAGTATTTTTTATTACAAACAAGTTAAGTTTAAACATCTATAAATGGTATGAATTATAGTGTATTTTTTACACGTATTTTGTTTACATTAGCCTCTTTCAGACACAAATTCTTTCAAAAATTAAACACCGTGTTTACTTTGCTGTCGTTGGTTGATTTGGTTGTAAGCCGATGAACTCGCCAAATCTTGGAAAACATGGCTCCGTAGGACAAGGTAAAACCTATACTCAACAACCAAGCTCTTGCCTGTGATTAAAAAGGAAAAAATGAATAAGTGAAATTATTGACTTTAATTTATTCATGTTTAAACACGATATGTGACAAATGGTGATCTGCCTTAATAAAAGATAGCTTAGACTAAAAACAATTGAATATACTTGAATTATAAAATTATTATTCGACTTCAAATGCTACACTTGAAGGTAAACATTTTAATTCGGACTCCAATAATTTTCAGACCTTACAAAAACAAAATCCTATTAGGAACTAGCTTGCATCATTCCGGATAAGGAAAAATGTATAGAAGTTTTTTATTTCCTTAATAATCACGGTAAGAAAAATTATCAAGTTTTTAATATATTAAAATTTCGTCTTAAATAATTTGAAATAAACATTCTAAAGCATTAATTTTTTGTTTATTTAGTGTTAAGCCTGAAATCCGATTTTCAGCGTAATAAGCCCTCAAGCTTGACAACAATGAGCCACTGGGGAAGGAGGCAAAATGTGTATATGTATTTGTCTTTCGTAATTGTTTGTTTGTAATTAA